ACACACACACACACACACACACACACACACGTGTCCTGAGCACATGCAGCAGATTCTCTTCTCCTGCCTGGTAGGAACATACCATTTGGTAGATTCTTGCTTAGCTGACTTCTAGGCATAATTGGAGTAGGTAGATGTTCTGCAGAAGCCCAAGGAGGGACCTGAACCCATTTGTGATAGCGCAGGTATACACAATGAGAGGTGAAGCTGGGAATGAATTGGTAGTTAAAGAGAGGGGAGTTTCTAAGAAACCCAGTCATAGTCTGCTGCCATCCTGAGTGGACCTGGGAGGTCCTGGAGGGGCCTCAACTTGCATTAGAAAGCTGGGTAAATCCTGGCACAGGATCTCTAAGCAGTCTTCCCCAGTTTCCTTACCTTCCTCTTCAAAACAAGGCTGCTGTAACTAGGGCAAGAAGTATTGTGAAAACACTTTGTGAACTAGAGAGCACCATGATCCTGTGAAATACAAACAATATTTCAAGTGGAGTTGATACTTTTTTGAAAGTTAAAAGCATCTCTTGAGATCAACTGGGCCACCCCAGAGCCTGGTAAGATTGTGGCTGAGGACCTCTGTAACCACTCCTGTGCTGCCACCTGCTGGTGAGTTCCTGAAATGGCACCCAAAGCCTGCTGCCCTGCCCAGGTGGAGAAGCCTGTGCAGTACAGGCGGAGCTGGAAGGAGTTACTAACTCCATTACACACTCCCCCTGGTCACCCTATGCAATCGCAAGAACAGACCCAGATGGAAGCTGGTGCAGGGACCCTGAAATCCTGGGCACCTGGTGCATGCACATCCCTTGGACCTTTGGAATCCAGGCCTCTTGGTGAGGGAAACATAGTTTTAAGTAGATCAAAGCCTACATCCCATCAACATCTTGGAGTTGACACTCTATTTGTGGGCCGAGGGGGGCCAACATCCCTGTGTTACCACCCTGGTTCTGCTTGGCTCTCAGAGGTGAACAGCTTGGGCTCAGGACCAGCCTGCGGCGAGTGGGTCCTAAGATCCCTTGGATAAAGTCCATAAACATATCTGTAGATAAAAAGAACACCACACTGGGCTGGGAAGGTGGCTCCATGGTAGAGCGCTTGCCTTGCATGCCTGAGGCCCTGGGTTCAATTCCTCAGCACCACATAAGCAAAAAGAAAAAAAGCCAGAAGTGGTGCTGTGGCTCAAGTGGTAGAGTGCTAGCCTTGAGCTGAAGAGCTGAGGGACAGCGCCCAGGCCCAGAGTTCAGGCCCCACGACTGGACTAAAAAAAAAAAAAAAAAAGAACACCACACTTCCCATTTTTCTAAGGTTGGCTGGGCGAAGAGAACCAATGGGGAGGACTTTTTCTGGAGCAAATTTCTTCTTATCCAAAGGAAACGGAGGCCTGGAGGAGATGGAACTTGTCCAGAGGCTCTCGAGGGGGATTTTAGCTCATGTCTGTTTGTGGTAACCCATATCCATTTCCAAGTGCCAGAGAGGAAGCCAACTTCATCTGTGGTTCTAAGGTGGGGCATTTGATTGGCTCAACCACAGTGATTGACACAGCCTTGAGCCTGTGACCCAGGATGACCCAATCACAATGAATACTTTCATTTCCCTATAGGAGAAAGCTAGATCAGGACCTCCCCCTCTCCCCCCCCCCCACTTGGCAAGACTGAGAGACATAAAATGCACAGAAGTTTGTAGCTATTTATTGCACTGAAAACACCAAGAATAAAACAGATGCCCCTTCTTCCCTGCCCACCCCCTCCCCCCCCAGTAGCAGAAAGTTTGAGCAGTGGTCATTCAAGTTCACAGCCACATTTAAAAAAAAATGAAAAAGAAAGAAAGAAAAAGAAAAGAACGGAAACAAAATCCCAAACGAGTAATAACGAAGAAACCAGCATAGGGAGCCTGGCCAACACACCCCCAGAGGGGCTCCCGTTAAAGGGAGGGAGGAGGCCGAGGGCAGGATCTGAGCCTCAATGGCACAAACCCGGGAGAGTGCTTCCCTGTAAACATAGGTGCATGCCAGAGCCTGGGTTTGGACTTGTTTGATTTTTGCATCTAGAAGGTGTTTGGAGACGCGTGTCGCTTGTCTGATGAGGGTGGGCAATGTCTTCTGCCAGTTCCTTGCCTGCTGTCTCAGGGTCACCTTGGTCCCCAGGGTCTATAGCAAGTAGGAGTGACCTTTGCAGTAGGGCCAACTCAGCCTGGGGGAGGGACCTGCCTCTACTTCTCTGGCTCTTGGAGAGGCACACAGTGGACAGGAGGTGTGACAGCCGATAAAAGGCAGAGCGTGGGGGTCCTCTACCTCAGTTTCCTCTGTAGGGAAACCAAGGTCCAGAGAGGGAAAGGACTCGCCCAAGGTCACACAGCAAGTCTGGTCTGAACTGGGACTTGAAGCCTATTAACCCCGCAGCCACTTCTCTTTCCCCCACAGTCCACTGCTGATGAGCAAGGGACAGGCACCACAGAGGGGGATGAGGGGCAGGCAGGGGAGAGGATGGGGCCTGGCCGGGCCTGAAGCCAATAGAAGGCCAGCCAGTAACAAACCCTGTAAGTCCCATGTGTAGGTTTGGGCTTCATACCACCATCCATTTGATTCTCCACCAGCCTAAATAGGAACACTTGACCTTTTCAACTGGCAGAGAAACTGAGGCTGAAAAAGGGACCAGACCTTGCTTGGAGACTGTGGCATCCCCTGGTGAAGGCCACCCTCCCCTTCACCTTTGGCTGGGGATGGCCATGGGAACTGGCAGTTCACAGAGAGACAGGCAGTTCTGTTGCTGGAACAACGGGCTCACTGGGCCTTGCTGAGAGAGGCCCTCTGAGCCTGGGAAAGGCCAGAGGCTACCCTTAGGCCTAGGCAGCAGAGTCTCTGCTGAGGCCAGAGGCCAGTGATAGGCCAGCTTAGAAACTAGAGGCCTGCGCAGCCTCTTTCCTGGCCTGTAGGCCGGCCTGTCTCACCTGTCCCTAAGCAGTGGGACTTGAGCCAAGGGCCCAGCAGACAGCTCACAACCCAGTTCTGCTCCAACAACACCCAGGACAGTTGGCGGGGAACTAAACCTCCTCCAAACCCTTGGTGATGTGGCTCTTCCTCCCCTAGAATCCACCAGAGGGGACAGAATCTCATGCTGGCAAAACACGGCCACACAGAGGCCAAAAGCACAGAGAGGCAGCCACGTAATTCTGAGTTGGACACCAAGAATACACCTCTTTTTTGTGTGTTTTTTTGTTTTGTCCAAAACATATAGATTGATGTTGCTGAGTGTTTTTCTTCTTTTCATATTTTTTTTCAACTTACTGCATATAAAGTCATGCAAAGAAAACAGTGCAGAGAGAGGAGGGAGGAAGGAAGACAGAGAGAGAGTGTGTGTGTGCATGGAAGAGAGAGATTGAAAGAGGGAAAGGAAGAACTTGAGGTTCCGGATGAGGTGTAATGAGAAGGTTCTGGTGCTCTGCTTCGGTTGTCAGATACCAAAGTGGGGGGAGATAGCCATGAATACCCATGCTCAGGGACCCCAGAAGTGGATAGGGGTGGCATTCGGATGTTGGAAGAAGAAATCCTGGGAAGTGCAGTCTTGGGGAGCCCAGTGTGAGAAGAGCAAAGCAAAGTTGGGGTGCTTCTCTCCTGACAGCCTCTGCGCTCTCCCTGGCCTGACTCACAGTCTGGTCACGTGGCAGCCGAGTGGGCGTCCTGCCCGGGCACCTCAGGACCTGAAGACAGCCCGGGCTCCTGGAGCTCCATCCACCTCAAGTGAGCACAGGTGACAAGCTCCACCCCAGAAAGGACCAGAAAAGCAAAACAGAACAAAATCTAGAACCGAATAAAGTCTACCCTTGACCCCTCTCCCCACCCCGTTCCCAGCCCAAACACCTCACAACAACTTGAGAGGTTTTCATTATTACAGAAATATCCAGGAACGTGAAATCCATTTACGAAATACACAGAAGTTTGGCTATAAAAAGGCATGCGGTCCAAGTAGAAGTGTACCTAAAGGTGGCTTCCCTTTGCTCTCCAAACAGCCTCCGTTTCCCTCTCCCTCAGGATGAGGCTGGAATTCTCCAGGGACGCTGAGGCTGGGTGGGCAGGGTTAATGCTGGAGGTGAACTTTGCCATAGGGGTGTGGAAGCGAGGGGGCGGTGGAACTCCCACACAGTGCTGTGGGAGGGTTCGGTCCTCAAGTCCATCCCTACTCCTTTGTGGTGGACCAGCCCAGGGCGGGAGAAGGTCAGGAGGTAGCAGTTCAATGCAGAAGCTTCTAGCAGCCTCGGCTCCTCTCTCATCTTCTCCCGCAGGGAGGCTGGGATCAGGGATTTGTGGGGGCTCTTCAGGGCTTTTCCAGGGACTCCAGAAGAAGAGAGATCTGAGAGGGACCCTGGCCACATGCTTCTCATTCTCCCCCAATCTGGTGAACACACAGTTGGGGTATTCTCATCAACAACCAAGACCAGGCCAGGCAACAGCAGTGAGTGGAATTTGGGGGGGGGGGTCCCTGGCCCCCCTCCACACTGGTGGAGAAGGAACAGGATTGAAAGGCAAGATATGTGTGTATGGTTG